TAGACCGTCTGGTGTGAACCACAACACTGCAGCATCTGAAATGGTTTAAGACTAGGGGTGAGGAACACTGTACCTGACCACCATGTAGGGGACTTCATGGGATACTGTAATTCCAATTAACTCTCACAAGAGGTATCAGCTTAAATCACTCTGAAGAAAACTGGAGAGGGAGGGTAGGGTGGTGAGTTGGCATGACTTCTGAGTATCTAAAGAAATCACGTGGAGGAATTTCCTTACCCACAGTAGTAGTCAGCTGGGAAACAGCGTTGTCTGCCTCATGATTGAAGAATACCCCTAGTCCATTGAGGACTGAGGATGCCTGCCCAGACTGGGCTGCCATCAACCTTGCTGTAGTTCAGCAGCTTCTGATGGCTCTCACGGAAAGTTTGTCCATCTACCCAAATAAACCCATCTATCTCTCACGAGATTGTAGTTGCTGTGGGTGCTGTTGAGTTGCTGTCTGTCAGCCTCAAAATGCCTTTTTACCCTCAGATCCCAGAGCTCTGATTGAGCTGGACACCTCTGGAATATGAGATGGGGACAGGCAAGGGACCTTTGAGAGATGATGGAGGCAGTGGATGAGTGAGGTTTGCTGCCGTTAAGAAGCAGGAGAACATTGTGCTGACCTTGAAGACAATGGATCTGAATCCCAGTACTGGCATTTTGGGGATGAATCACCAAGGGTGGAGCCAAGTTGTGTTTACATGACATTCTTCTGTCCTTGGGGACAGTTACATGGGGAATCACTAGCCATCAGAGTCCTACTGGGGGTGTGTCTGGGGCTCGAAGGGGCTCTGCTGTGAATTGCTAAGTAATCTGGAGAACGGCAGATAGACGGCAATGTGGTTGGAATGAGAAAAAGAAATGAATGAGAGTTACTTGCTGTAAGCCTTGGGGCTTTGGTCTTCTCCCGTAACGTGGGACTGGGGCTCAGTTTCCTGCTTCAAGGACAGTACTTCAACCAGGACTTCTTAGTCATTAGGGATGTCTTGGAGATGAATTGAAATTCATCTCCTAGTTTCTCCTCCACTAACTGGTAGGAAAGGAATCTTTCAGTCTTGCTGAGGTAATACAAGGGAAGGAGGAGCTGATTTCTGCTTCCTGCTCTTTCCCTGCTGCTCTCTCTACTCTGCCCTCACTCTCATCCCCCCAAAAAAAGTAAAAATAGCATCTTGGAGCCTACCTGCTTCCATTACCTACTGCCAGTGAATGCTTCAGGTCACACTGGGAAGGCATCTGTTTTTTTTTCAGACAGCACTGCGTTTAACTGAATATAGCTGGAGTGAAGAGAGAAGCAGCATTCTTCCCCATGTTTATCTTCTTACTTCTTGGCATCTAGGTGTCTGTAATGAGGATCTCCAGCTTCAAACATTACAGCAAAGCAAGAGTTTTGGTATGAAGGAAAACACTGAACCATTGTGTTCATATCTTTGTGGCTCTTGAGCACCATATCCTTGTCCAGGACAGGAGACTTAGGGAAACACTTGGGGCAGTCTCTCCCTGGCTGCATTAGAGTTGTATTTTCACCACAGCTCTGGAGTAACTCTCTCTGCTCACCTGCATTTGCACAAGGAAATTGTTGTGGTGTAACACCTTGGCTTTCTGTTCCTAGGGAAACCCCTTTTACCAGTTGACTCATGCTTCACTTTGTTTTAGGAGCAGTTGCATGCTTTTTCTGTAATAAGGTGGTGGGACAGTAGCATGCCCAAGGTTATCTGACCTCCTGTAGGCAGAGCATGGAGAGTCCCTGAGGAATATTGAGGTAATATTATTTAGTTACCTTGGGCTGTTTCTCATCACAATTAAAGATAATCTGTGTTTATATTTCTCCTTTTGTATGGAGGGAATCCCAAATTACTCAAAAATTGGACAGCAGGATCATTTTATCTACTGAGCAAAAGCAAGTACCTGTAATCATGCTGTGTTTGGCACCCCGTGGTCCTGTGAGATACCACAGGACAGGAGTTGATCAGGATGAGGGGATGCCCATGATGGGCAGGTCGGGGGCTGGCACGGTTGGCAGCAGTGTGCTTGTTCCATGAGGAGGGTCGTGCTGTTCTGGGGGAGCATGCAGTGAGCGAGGTGTGAGCTCCTGGGTGCTGAGCATCCTTCAGTAATGAAAGGTGATCAAAGAGAATTTGTGTGGTGCTTGGTTGAAAACACAGGCTCCGGAGAGCAGAGTGGTTGACATGACTGGGATACAGGGACTAAAAAATGGACAGTTTCTTCAGCAGGAACACAGCTACTGCAGAAATCACAGTCTTCCTTCCTGCATGGCTGCTGAGTAGCACCAGGCAATGGAGGTGCCTCCCTAGGGTGGCCTGTCCAGGGTCACCTCTGAGATGCTTCTGTTGCCATGCCCAGATGGGGCGTGTTGATCCTCTTCAGGTACAGCGATATGTTGGTGGGCTTTATGCCATGCTGTGACACTGCTGACCCTGGCTCCCACAGCCCTTTCCAAGGAGCCTGCTTGGATCTGAATGTCAGCTATTGCTATGAGGCTCCTGCAGGGATGTGGTGTCTCACCAGAGCCTGCCATTTAAAGCATCAACCTTTTGCTTACCCCTTAGCAGCTGTGGAAGTGTTGATCTGTTTCTATCTGTTTGCGGCAACTGGGCACACCATCCCCTCCTCTGCCACATGCACACCACAGTTGTGGGCAGGAGGTGATGCCACTGTTTCCTTCACTTGTGCTGTCTGTACTGTCTCTAATAAGTACCTGCTCCTAGACTCCGGTGAACACCTCTGTGAACTGTAGAGACTGAAGCTGCATCCATAGAGGTGGCACGGTCTTGCTCACAGCCTGCTTGTTAGATCACGTTAGGCTGCGTGATGTGCTCATCTCAGTTTGTTCAGTAAGCCCTTATTCACCCAAACCTTTCTCCAGAGACTATTTGGGTCCCTTAGCAACTTTAAATTGCTTTTAGCCTTGACCAAACTGAGAACCTACACGGAAACACTTTTTTACAGTGAAGGAAAACCAACTTGGATGGATATATGCTTAGATTGTGCTCTTTCTAAGTGCAGGAAGGTGACTGGGAACATGAGTTTACCATAGCAGATTATGCTTGACTAACCTGATGGCCTTCTGTGATGAGATGACTGAGTTGGTGGCCATGGAGAGAGCAGTGGGTGACATTTACCTTGGCTTTTGTTTTTTGACATATTCTCCCATAGCATCATTATAGCCAGACTGGGAAGGTACTGCCTTGATAGGTGACTACAAGATGGATTAAAAAGCTGTCTGGTCTGTCAGATGGAAAACGTAGTGGTCAGTGCTGTGAGTTTTAATGGGTAGCCAGTTCCTAGTCACAACCTTGAGAAGTCAGCATAAGGCCTGCACAGTTCAGCATCTTAACCTACATCAGGGATGATGGGGTGACATGCAACCCTGTCCTGGTGAGCCCATGTGCACCGTGGTCCAAGGAAAAGGTCAGTATGCTGACCCCTCTGGTTGCTGGCCAGAGGGGCCTTGGTGTAAAGTAGAAATGGGCCAAAGGGCCTTAGGAAGTTGGGCAAGAGAAATGCAGGTCCTGTGCCTGAGGTGGGGGTCAGTCACTGCCCTGGTGCAGGCTGGGGGCTGGCTGGCTGGGAAAGGTTCTGCAGGGAAGGAGCTGTGCTGCAGGGAAAAACTGCTTGGTTCTTGCAGTTTAAACCAAATCAGGGTTGAAGCAGTGCATCGATTTATCAGCAACATATAATTAACCAGCAATCAGTGTACTATATAAGGAGGATCAGTATCAGCAACACAGTGAAGAAACCACAGTGCTGGACACCTATGCAATGCTCATGTACAACTATAAATTTCCAAGAGTCCTGTAACATCCCTAGAAGTTATTCCCACATACACAGTTACATAGCTCCATGGTGTTCCTGTCTCAATGATTGTTGCTGCCCAGGATAAGCCCCATGAGATCCCACAGACCTGGTAGTTCCTGTAGACATCAGTCAGCAGCATAGCATGTCTTAAATATTAGCCTGAGTCATCACTGTGCTGATTTGGAATTTTGCATGCAGTGGCAGAGGTTTATTCCCTGTAAAAGATGGAAGCAGCTCTGGTCCTCACTGGGATGCCAAGGAAGGGTCTCACTGAGCTGCCCACCTTCTCCCCTGCTCTGGAGAATGCCCAGGCAAAGCTGGTGAGCTAGAATTTTCCACCCAATGCCCATTTTCTGACTTCTCCCCATCTGAAATAGGTGAGTGCCCTTAGATGCTGACCAGCTGAGATTCTGGTTACTAGACTCAAGTAGAGCTCCTGGGGAGAGCACAGCCCTGCAGGAGCAGCTTATATCCCAGTCTGGCAAGTGTCCTCCTTGCTGAACCCCTGGGCAGTGTTAGGGGATGTCCATTTGCATGATAGTTACATGTGATATGGACTCACCATGTGTTGTTCATTTTCTGTCTGCCCAGGCATACACAGATGTTGTTAGCTGCTGGAAATGGCTGAGGACATGCAGAAACATACTCTCCTCGTGATCTATTGCTTTGACCTTCAGGTGGTATTTCTAAATTTTAAGTGTCCAGCACACACTGAAACTGTGGGGACAGAAGTGCCCCCAGGCTACACCATGTGTGAAACTGGCTGGGGACCAGCAGTGGTGTCCACAGAGCAGGTTTCTCTTCCAGATACCAGTATTGTAGCAGATGTGGCAGACAGGAATATAAAGCAGGAGAAACTTTCCAGAAATAATAGTGAAAGTGCTAATGACAAGGAGGGAAGAAGCACCACCATCTTCTTGAGATCTCAGGTAACATGTATTTCATGTGAAGTACACAATAGCCTGCCTGGCTGTTTTTGAGCCCTAATGTCTGGTTGAATTTCTTCTCTTTTTTCTGTTAACATTCCATTTTAAATAGAGTAATCCTTTGAGGGCCTAAGCTCAAGCCTCTTACATGTGTCAGAAAGATTTCTACAGTTAGAGGGAGTGCATTAACCATCTCTTTGCTAGTATTTGCTGTTTTGTTGGCAAATTACTTCCATGTCATTTTAACTTGATCAGTTGGAAGAGCACAAGCCATGCAGTCAAGACAGCTTATGTAAAACTTCCCTTCTCAGGCAGTCCAGGTGTCCCTAGATGGCTGTGTGCCATGAGGACATGTCAGTAAATAGCCATGAAATTGGCCTATTTACACGAGATTTTGACCAAGGTCTGGCAGGACTGGAGTGCAAGTAGGCACTGAAATATTTAAGTCCCGTAAGGAGTGGAAGGACTTTATTTTCCTAGCTGAGAGGGTGTGGAGATTTCACAGGCCCAGAAGAGCAGTGTGTAAAATATTTTTTGAGAACCTCAATTTTTGGTAGTGTTTCTATGTGAAAAACAGAATAAAAGGGCAGTTCAGACTCTTTTGGCTGCATGGCATTTTTGTTCCTTGTGGTGATTTGGAAGGGCAATAGAAAGCAATGAGAAGATGCAATAAACAGTAATTCCTACCATTAGGGGGCTTTCCTGCAATTGTTCCTGTTCTCCTTGGATTTCAGTTGGAGCAGGAATTTGGCTCTTCGATTTGCTTTCTTGACTTGGATGGAGATTGTGAAGTTTTCTCTCAAGCAGCTGTGGCTACAGACTTCAGTTATAGGAAGGGTTAAATCTCAGCGATTTGGGTTGAAAATGTGCCATAGAAGATTAGATCTAGAATCCCATTTTGCTTGTGCACTGATAACAGGAACTTATCAGCCTGCCACTCTTATTTGATTACTAAGACTTGCTACTGCAGAAACTGAGAGGGAGAGATGGGAAGTGGCTATTGATTGGCAATCAATAAAGGCTGAGGTGCTTTCATCAGCCCCAAGGAAGGTGGCACATTCACCTGCTAATTGCAGCCTGCAAATCCCAGAGAGGATGCTCTGGCATGGCATGACAGCATGTTGTACTATCAGAAATTAGTACTTTTTGATGCTGGCCCTGTGGAAGCTGTGCCATCCAGTGACGGAGCCACCCATCCTTCAGCCTAAGGTTAGCAACATTGACTGAATCCATCCAACATGCCCTGGGAGTATGCAGAACAACTGGGTATTGTACAGTGGGGCTGACTGTACTCACTGTTTGAGTACTGATTCTTCATTAAATAATAGGAGCTTGTGCAGTTGGGAATAGGACCAAGCCTCCATTTTTCTTGATAGAAGCCAAATGGAGTTTCATAATCTTTTTCTTCTCTCTTTTTCTCTGTGTATGTTTCTATATGCATCTTTTATCTCCTCTCCTTCTCTAGCCCTCCATTTCTCAATCCACGTGTGTTTTCACCTCCATGTACACCTTTGCTTCATATGCTTTAAAAGTTCTTGGAAAAAGGAGCCAGGATTGGCAAGTAATGCAAATATAAGAAAAGCTGAGGAACATCATGCATAATGCTGGTGTTACCTCTAGGAAGCAAGTTTTAAGATATTAGAAAAGTCAGTCTCTCACACAGCTCCATGTGTTCAGCATGCTGTGGTGGATAGAGACTGGGATGCAGATGGTCCCTAAGTTCCTGGTGACTGGGAACCAGAGTACAGAGGGGAGACCAGCCCATTCCCTTCTGATCTTTCCTGAATTAGAATTGATGCTGGACAAGGCCAAGGTACCTCCTGCCGTTGCTAGTTATCCGTACAGAGCACGGAGTGCTGCACCCTGACATAGGGCCATTAGTGGCAAACTGGGACATTGCTGGGCCCAAATAAATGGTTTTTAATGTTCTGTACGCGTAAGCAAGACAGACATTTCATGGCACTTTTGGCGTCAGGCAGGGAACATAACTTTGTTCTATATGAAATGAGACTTTGGGCAGAGCTTATTTCTGATAGAGAGGTTTATGAACACCATGTGTTGCAGCCTTTCCTGCTCTTCTTCTCCTTAGCCTGCCTTTCCACTGGTAGCATGACTTTTGTTCTGTAGTAAACTGCATGAAGCTGAGCATGGCTATGCCATGCCCCAGTTACCCACACCTGTGCAGGCTGCCTGAGCTGGGAGCTGGGGCAGGATGCTTGCTGAGGAAATACCATGGCCTCCTGAGCGTAGTTGTCTGAGGCATTTGCAACAAAAGGTGGTTTTGTGTGATAGCCTTCCCTGCAATGGAGATACGCCCTTTTTCTTGTACATTCTCCATTTAAACCCAAGAGAGGCGATTTTTAAAAATTCTAGTTAAGAGAATATCCCATTTGCATGATTAAATCCTAGAAGTCAGTAATGCCAAGCAGAACATTCATTCTGCCCCCAGTGTGTGTTGTTAAAAAATTATATTTAATTAAACAATTACAAACTGTTTATCTGATAATTTTTACTGAGCCACTGGTGTATATGAGAAGATGCATCCTTCATATTAAGAGAGTTACAGTGGTGTAAACCAGGCAAAATAAAATAAGGAGTGGGCCCTCATACAGGGATTATCAGCCCTTCTCAGTTTTTGCTTCCTTCAAAATATTCTAGGGGGATCTATGAGCCCCTTTAGAGACATCTGCCATCTTATAAAGTACAGCAATCTTGTTTTTCCCAGTAACCTTTTGTGAATCCCTCAGGAGGAGTTTGCATTCTGCCATCAAAATGGCAGGCTGAAAGCCGCTGCTCTAAGCCTTTTAGGCAAAAATTCCCTTCCAAGCCAATGGCCGTGTATTATGCCATTCACTGTCCATTAGCACTTTGCTTTGGAGGGTGAAACAGTTAACTTTGGAGCTATTTTAGCTGCAAAACTTTGGTGGCCTAACTAAGCCTGCAGTGATTCTCTCATTATGTGCTGTTTTATTTAATTTCTAGTATGTTGTGTAAGAGTAGTATACTAAGCTCTTGCTCCTTAATGACTCTGAGAAGTTTGGTCTGTAATACATAGAGATGTGCTGTACTGAAAGGTATTGCACTGACTGATATAATATGGCTTCATGGTATTTAAATAATGACATATGGTTATATTGTTGTTGTCTGCACTGTGTGTGAAGAGTAAGAATTACTTTTGGGAAAGCATGTCTGTCATGCCATGGGGCAAAAATGTAATTATGCCATCATAGTGTTCTCCTTGATATTCCCCATTTAATTTGGTTGACGTAGTATGTGTGGTGTGCCAAAGCTTGAAGAAACCAGCAGTAAACAACTCAGTCTGCTTCAAAAGTTATTGGCTACAAGGTACCACACCTGTAATGTTTCTACATTAATGCAGGCAGCATGAGGAGCAAACAAGAGGAGGTTGAAGCTTTGACCCAGTCCCAGAGATTTAACATCACTGGCATAAGTGAAACCTGGTGGGATGAGACCTTTGACTGGAGTGCCCTGTTGGATGCTTACAGGTTCTTCAGGAGAGACAGAGAGGGTAGAAGAGGTGGAGGGGTGGCGCTGTATGTTATAGAAGGGTTAGAATGTATGGAGCTCACAGCTGGCAATGGCACAGTTGAGAGCCTCTGGGTAAGAATCAAGGGGCAAACAAATGATGTGTGTGGATGTCACTGTGGGAGTCTGCTATAGACCTCCCAACCAGGACAATGACGCTGATGAATTATTCCTTGAGGAACTAGGGAACACTCCCAGGTCAAGTGCCCTTGTCCTTATGGGGGACTTCAACTTGCCAGAAATTCCCTGGGAGCATCACACAGCTGGTACAACTTGGGCCAGAAGATTCCTGAAAAACCTGGATGACAGCTTTATGGAACAGGTCTTAAGGGAACCAACTCAGAAAGATGCCCTCCTTGATCTGCTGCTTGTCAACAGAGTGGATCTTGTGAGCAAAGTGGACATTGGTGGCCATCTTGGCCACAGTGACCATGAAGTTATTGTTTAAAATCTCTGTTGACAGGAAGAAAAGTGCCAGCAAATCCTCAGCTCTGGTCATGAGGAGAGCAGACTTCAGGCTACTCAGGGAATTACCCCTGGGAAAATGTTTTTGCAGATGCTGGGGTCCATCAGTGCTGGTCACTTTTCAAACATCACCTCCTAAGTGCACAGGAGCAGGTAGTTCCCAGATGTTGGAAGTCAGCAGGTGAGGCAGAAGGTCAGCTTGGCTGAGCAGGGATCTTCTCTTGGAAATAATGTGAAAAGAGGAAGGTGTATGCCCAGTGGAAGCAAGGTCAAGTGATGTGGGAAGAATACAGAGATGCTGCCTGCTGCTGTAGGGAGAATATTCTTGTGGCCAAAGCTCAGCTGGAGTTGAAGCTGCCAGAAATGTGGGGGACAATAAAAGGAGTTTTTTCAAACATATTAATGGCAATAGGCAGTATAGAAATATCATCAACCCGTTACAGGATGAGGATGGTCACCTCAGAAACGGGGACAGAGACACGGCAGAGATGTTTAACGCTTTCTTTGCCTCTGTCTTCAACACGGATGATGGACCAAGGGGGTCTCTCTGCCCTGAGCTGGAAGACCAGCACTGCGAGAATGATCACTTCCCAGTTGACCCTGAAATTGTGCAGGATCTGCTGCTTCAGCTGGATCGCTACAAATCTATGGGCCTGATGGGAACCCGGGGCACCTGGAAGCACCCTTGAGCTCTGGAAACAGCACAGTTCCGTGGCAGTGCTGGCTGTGCAGCACCTAGTATGAGCACAGCTTGGATTTCTGCCTGACACAGGTCTGTTATGCTGTGTTCCCAGCGGCCACTGGGGGAAAATCCAGCTTTGCTGCCACCTTTATTTTGGCTCCATTTGCCATAACTAGTAGGCTAGGATTAGAGTAGACAATTTCTGTTGGGATTTTTTTTCCCAGTGGTAATACAGCTGAGCATCTTTTCCCATTTTGGCCATGCTTAACAGCCTTATATGATGCAGCTGTAAGGGAAATAGTTTAGGAAGCATCTCTGCTCAGTTACTAGTAGTCCTAGTGGTGAAAGGGTACGTGAGGGACACCTAGTCCAGCCCAGGACGAAGGTTACCTGTTTAGCATAAAGACTGAGCAGTAGTGGTTTGACTGGCCAGACTTGGTGAGCTGGGAGCACTCACAGGGCAGCTGAGGCAGCTGGAAGCAGGAAGGTCTGTTTCAATCTGTTGCTAAAATGCCTGTGGCTACTGTAGGCCTGTCTGGCTGATTCCATTTTTCAACCATTGCCTTGTAACACAT